AAAAAAAAAAAAAAATCACTTTACTGTGCATGTGTAGAGGGACAGAAGTGAAGGCATACTTGAGAAACGGTGGCTACAAAGGTTTGTGAGAGCTGTGGAATCCCTGCTATGTACTCTGGAGGACCATCTTTGCAAAGTCAGAATCCAAGATCAGAATGTACTCCAGGCAAACACAACATCTTTAGTCTACTCAGGGAACAGAAGACTACCAACTCTGTTTAGTATGTGCTGTTTCTCTCATGAGCTCCAGTACTGTGGAAAGTAAGAGCTCAGTAATTCTGTTGTACTCAGAGGAGGCCTGAAGAGCTTACTCCAGCAGAGTAAATACCTTTTTCTTCAACTCACCTTGAAGAAATGAAACCTAAGAACTATTAATTACATCATCAAAGGGCAAGGGCCATACATTCAAAAATGGTGTTGTTCACCCTATCCTGTGACTCAAATTGTTGTTTGCTTAGTGACCTTCCAGGCCTACTTGCTTATATTGGAGACTAATCAGTCTAGATCTGCCTCTGACCCATCCTTAATTCTGATCTTAGGACATCAAAAAGAAATTACCAATAGGCCATTCAAAAGTCTGACTTTGGTTTTGAATATATTAATAGATTGTTAATGGGGAACTTGAAAACAGAACCCTGTATGGAAAAGAAGTATAAAATGTTTCAAGAAGCCATGTAGGATCAAAAGAGACAGTTTATCATATGTTTGCCACAGTGGCAACAGTTCATACATAAACTAAAAAGCTATGTGGGCTATGTCAAATTCAAGGTAACTAGGAAAACAACGTTTGTTTTTACTGTTGATTTTGATATAGGATCTTACTATTAGCCCTTGGTGTCCTGGAACTCACCATGTAGTACAGGATATCCTTGAACTAACAGAGATCTGCCTGCCTCTGCCTCTTGAGTACTGGAATTAAAGGGGTATGCTACCATACCTAGTTACAGCATCCAGTATTTTTATTTGTTACACCTGTCAGTTAACAATTATCCTAAGAAAGGACTATATTTTCTTGACTACAAGGAAGCATCATACACTTTGTTGAGAAGAAGAGTAATTATCAGATTAAATGGCTTTCTAACTTGAACTCTATTTTACACATTTTTTTCTTTAGGGCAACAATTCAATTATGTCAAGAGATTGTGTATAGAATTGTGCTGCTTTTATTAAATTAATAGAAAATTATGTGTTGATTAAAAAATATATAAACTGAGTGTGGTGGCTCATGCCTATAATCTCAGGTTTTGGAAGGCTGAGGCAAAGGATTTCCATGAGTTAGGGAAGTTTATGGTATATAAAGAATTACAGGCTACCCTGTATTATAGAAGAAGACCCTGTCTCAAGAAAAAAAAAAAAAAGACTAACTACACAATGGTGCCAACAGAGGTGGTGCACACCTGTGCTGAAGCTGGAGTTCAAAGCCAGTCCAGTACACAATGGTGCCAACAGAGGTGGTGCACACCTGTGCTGAAGCTGGAGGATCTCTAGTTCAAAGCCAGTCCGGACTACATCGGAGTTCCAGGCCAGCATAGGCTATGTAGTGCCAAGGCTTTCCCAAAATCAAATTAGCCTACATACGTCAAACACTGGTACCATACATGGACTTTACATGTTTCATCTGTGACCTTTTGTTACCTTTTGTTACTGCAGAAGTTGCTGTGATGTCAGTTAAATACCCAGTGTGACATGTACCTTACTTTACTCAGTCCCAGAGCAAGCACTGCACCCCATTGAACTCATGCACTGAATGTTACTAGAAGTGTTTTATTTTTCTGGCATAACTTTGCTTGTATTTATGAAATAGATGGACAAGGCAGCATTTCCTATTTGAGGAGCTTCTAAAAATCAATGCCTTCTGAATGAGATACCAGGCCATTATGTCAAAAATATATCATTTCCCTAAAAACAGATTGAAGTCTGTCTCAGATGAGAGGTTTCACACAATATGAGACTTTTTAGATTATTAGATTTTTAACAATGCTTGGCTACCAATCCTGTTTGCATTATTCCTGGGAGTCGCTTTTGAGATGATCCTCATAAGAACTTGTGAATTATTTAAAAACAAGCTTGAGCTATGGAAAAATAGCAGTTCGTGTTCTCAAGAAGTAAGAAATGATTGACCATTCTCTCATTTTTTCTAAAGCACACATAAGAATAATTTTAAAAAATTTAACTTTGATAGTTGGGCTATTTCTCTAACATTTTCATTTTCTCCCTTGAAGCAGAATGAAGATGTTTTCCCAAAAGGAATGACACTTGGTAAATATCATAGTTTCATCTTTTTTGTTTGTGTATTTGCTTTGGCTTTTTGAGACAGGGATTCTCTGTGTAGTCTTGATCTTGGCTATCCTGGAACTAGCTCTGTAGATCAGGTTGACCTCAAACTCATAGATTTGCCTGCCTCTGCCTACCAAGTACTGGGATTAAAGGCACAAGCCAGGACTTCCCAGTTTACAACTTCATTTTTAAATATTAAACTTACTTATCCTGAGTTTCTTCCCCTGATAACTGTAAATTTTTGTTCCCATGTAGCTATAGAGAGCTGGTCCATTCCCCAAACATCTTCAGCAGAAAGGTAAGTGAGATGAAACAATAGAACTTGTTGGCATTCTATTCAGATTTGTATTTATTTCTGAATCCCAGAGAAGCATCTTTCTAAAGGAACAGTAAATGGTAATTCACTCCAATGTTGTTTTTAAGTGGTTGCTTGTTCCAAGCTGTGATAAGGGCTTTTCATATATTGGTTAAATTATCCTTACAGAGGTTAACTTGGCTTCTTATGATAAAATGCCCCCACTACTCAAAAAGAAATAGAAGCCACAATTTCTTATAATTCACTTGGTAAAACGATTCACCATCTACTATGGATGGAGCCAACAGTGAAATGGGTTCTGTAAAACTGAGAGGCTCTATGAAATTCAAAATGTGACTCAGAATTTGTCAGCTCACAAGTACTTCTTCTGAGGTTTAGACACCAACATCACCATTACTCCTTGTTGCTATTTTAGTTGTTTTAACTAAAACTCATCCAGTGATTATTAAACATCTTCACAGTGGGCACTGTTTGATGCTAGGATACAAACACTTGAGCTAGTTTCTGATCTCAGACATGTAATGTAGCTAAAGGATAAAACCGCCCAGTATGCAAATGTTTAGGAGATGTCTAAACCAGCCTACAGCTCTGAGAATGGTTCCATGAAGAGTACATGAGAACTGGGATTTCAATTTTTAAAATTACGTCTATGTATTTGTTTGTTTGTATGGTTTATGGTGGGATTGGAGGACACATGGGGAGGGCAGAGGACACCTTTCAGGACTGGGTTTTCTCCTCTCAACACATTAGTCTTGGGGATTTAACTCAGGTCATCAGGCCTGGAGGCAAGCAGCTTTGCAAGCTGAACCATTCATGGAACCTGGAGCTGGATTTTAAAGAACAAATGTAAATTAGCCTGAAAATAAAGTTTAGAAGATAATAAAAGTCACTCCAGGACACACACAAAGACAAGGACATAAGAAACAGCAAGCTGAGCAGTCTAGGCAATCAATCTGAGGATTCCTAAAGACAGGATCACCCCTTTTGTCTGAGGATTCAGTAGAGGAGAATTAGAAGAGAAAGACACTGCCATTTCCAGCAACCCAAGCCTGTCTGTATTTCTGTAGTGGAGTTCTTATGACAAGCTCTACAACCGTGAAGGGACATTCAGGAAACTCATTTCCAAGCCAGCCTTTGCTAGGAAGGCTCACAAGAAGTATGATACCCCAGAAAATAGAGAAGAGAAGGACCCAGGTTCCCCAAAAGAAGGTCAAGGCCAAACGCTGATCTGGGGTAGCTCCTGTGATTCCTGTGAGGATGACCATTTGCATCTTTGAAAGGCCTGTTACTAGAATAACTTTCCACTCTGGGAATAACACCAAGTGCAGGCAAGAGGAAGAGAACTGGAGAAACCCCGGCAGCTCTGTGCATTCAGGAGACTGCTGCAACATCAAGTTAAAGACAGTAAAGGGGAACTATTATGTCCATTGGCTCTTACAAACCCTGTAAAAAAAAAAAAAATGCAGGCTAAAGCCACAGTTCAAAGTGGTGTTAATAGCGCCGGGCGTTGATGGCACAAGCCTTTAGTCCCAGCACTCAGGAGGCAGAGGCAAGCGGATCTCTGTGAGTTTGAGACCAGCCTGGTCAGAGTGAGTTCCAAAACTCTGTCACTCAGAGTGACAGGCTCCAAAACAATACAGAGAAACCCTGTCTTGAAAAAAACAAAAAACAAATAAACAAAGTCGTGTTAATAATCTGCACACTTCCCCAGAGTTCACCCCATGTCCCACCCGAGTTCAGAAAAGGTGGTATAAGGGACTGTTTAGCTATCTCCATCTTTCTCCAGTCATGGGCTAACTACTGCAGACATCCAGAGACAGACACAGGAAGAGACTGGCCAAGGCCTTGGAGGTAGACAGGCTTGCCACAAGGGCAGAGAACATGGGAGAATGGAAGAAAGATGAGTATTCTGAAAACTAAACGAAAAGACAAACAAACTGGAAAACCTGAGTGTGGTAGACTCTACAAGTTCTCCATGAAGGAACTTTGTTTTACTTGTATGTCTGTCTTTTTTGTTTTGTTTTGTTTTTCGAGATAAGGTTTCCCTGGGTAGCTCTGGCTGTCCTGAGACTCTGGGGACTAGGCTGGTCTCAAACTCAGAGATCTACCTACCTATGCCTCCAGACTGTTGGGTTTAAAGGCATGCAGCACCACCACCCAGCATTACTTGTATGTCTTTATATATCATTCCTATCCTAATGATGATGATATACCCAAATCACTCCCTTTAAAGCTCTTTTGAAAGGCAAAAATATAGCCAGTAGTGTTTTTAAAAATAGAGTTTTTAGTTTTGGTAGAAATGTGCTGAAATAGATTTCATGTGAAAATATCCTTTAGGTCAACTGTGATCCACAGTAGAACTCTGGAATAGATCCAACAGCAACCCACAGAGCAAAGGAAATTCCTTTTGTTACAGCATTTAGATGAGTTAGTTAGTTCATTCATACAGCAGTTAGTTCATTGAAGCTCCTGGGTGGATTACAAAGCCTTAACTCAGGTTAGGCAGAACTGGCCAGCTTGAAGCTAATCCTTTGTCCCTCGCTACCATGGGACTGCTATTTGCTATGTGTTTAGCTCCTTAGTGGGAGTACTAGACAGCATGTAAGACTGGAATTCTGGTTGCCTTAGTCCTGGAAAGAGAGAAGCTGCAGCTTGTATGACGAATTCCCTCTCTTGTACTATGTCTAAGACCTAACAAGTAGATAGCTTTATAATATTAGGTTTAATGGTAATTAAACCTTACTCAATTGTTCAATTTCAGATTATAGTTTTTACAACTTGGTGATTATTGGAGTCTCATTATGTGGACGAACTATGTCCTGCACTTGATCTTCCTGCCTCAGCCTGATGAATGTTAGGGTTACAGGCACGCATCCCACACCCAATTGTAATTACTTTTATTCACTTTTTAGTCTACAGGAATAATATAGCCCGAGGGCCTACGTAGTATTTTATATTAACTATTTAATTTGTTAATACTTATTCATGAAACGGTGATCCATGTGCTGCAGCTTTATGCAGCATTGTCTTGAACTTACCTTATTTGTTTTTATGGAACTTTGTTGTAATCCTAAACTATCAATACATGTTTCCATTTTAAATACAAAAAGAAAAAAAGAAAAGAAATGAACTGTCTGAAAGAACTAGCAATGATTTCAGAGTTGCTGAAAAGTTACCAAGGAACAAGTAGTGGGAGATGGATTTGAAGAGCTGGGGCTGAACCACAGAGGGTGTAATATACCACATTCTAAAGCTTGGATTTACCTCTGTACAAAACCAGTCAATGTTTGTTCGTTTGTTTTTAAAAAAGGAGTGTTTGGGAGCTTCAAGATGGCCCAGTGGGTGGATAAAGCTCTTTTTCACAGAAGACTGGGGTTCAGATCCCTAGCCTCCATAAGTATACTAATGGAGTGTGATTTCCACCTGTTATCCTAAGCACTCAAGAGGTTAGGACATCAGATAGCTAGCACCTGGCTAACTAGGTTACCCCAAGACACCCTTCCTCAAGACAGAAGACAATGTGTGAAGGAGAAACACACCTGACCTCAACCTCTGGCCTCCATATGCATGTATGCAAATGTGTTTGTACACCTGCACACACACATAGGACTACACACATGTGAATGTGCGTATACATACAGTCATGCACACCACACACAGTAACAGAAGTTTCTCAGTCCTGTCCCATCCCACAGTTGCTTTCAAATAATCACTCTGAGGCTTATATTAATTAACCATGCATTGTCCCAAGGCTCATGGCCTTTACCTCTATTTCATTTTGTAAGTCTGACTCCTGCATCTGGCTGGTGCCTCCTCTGACTCTGCCCTTCCACATCCCATTATTCTACATAACTTAGTGGCCATCTTTGTTTCAGATGGACTGTTTCATATTGATGTGTTTGTATTCACAATAAATAAATATATCTTTATTTTTAAAAAATAATCTTTATTTTACTTACCTGTGGCTACAAAGAATGTCAATATTGGTGCTGGCAATTCAGACATCAAGTGCTTTAAATGAAAAGTGAAAATAAGATAGGACTTTTAAGACAAAGACTACATACCTTTCATTGTGGTGTGATATAATATTCTATTATTTGTTGTGTTTGATTGTTTACCTGATGTAAATTTAACTTAAGAAAACTCAGTAGTAGAGTGCTTGCCCTTGCCTTGTATGTTCTAGACCTTGGGTTTAATCCCTATCACCACAACAATTAGTTCATTATTTAATAATTAAGCATTTTTGTGAATAAGAAGAAAAACCATGGTGTAACCAGCATTTGGTGATATGTACAGATTCAAGCATTGCTGGGGGATGGAATGGACCCCTGAGAAGGGAAGCACTGTAACGGAGAAGAGTGGTAGGCAGTGGTTTTGCAGGAGCAGGCTTAAAGAGGATATGCTCCAGTGGACACATACTGTGCTGAAAATCCACTGTTTGGGGTTCACAAAGGTCGACCTTTAGTTATTTAGCCCATCAACTAATATCTGGTTGAGACAGGGTTTTGCTGTATAACCCAGACTAGGCTTCAACTCCAGACTCTCCTGATTTAGCCTCCTAAGGTATAGGCTACCAACCCTTGCTAGGGTTCCACTTTGTATCATAACTATCACTTTTGTTAGTTGGCCTGGTGTTAGTCAGTTAGCTTTAGGACATTAGTCTATGAAGTTATAGTTACCAGTAAGTCTAAAATTTGTAGTGTAAGTCTAAGGGTTATCTTGGCAAAATTTCTTCTTGCTATGGATAAGTTACTCTTTTGCTGTTTATGCCTAAGGCCAATTAGATGACTCCTCCTATGGATAAGTTACTCTTTTGCTGTTTATGCCTAAGGCCAATTAGATGAATCCACATTAGGGAGAGCAGACTCAATTATTATTTACTAGTTCATATGTTAATCTCCTCCTAAAATCCCCTCACAGAAGTACCCATTCTAATTTTGGACCATGTACTGGGCACCACAGCTCAGCTAAGGTGACATATAAATTAACCCCCATACTAAGGTAATGCTGATGCTGGTGGTCTGAGTCCTTGTTTGACAGAGTAGTCATCCACATAGAAGAAAACTACAATAATCTTTGCTATACGTTCATCAGTACTTGTCTGACCCACAAGTCCACTGACAAGTACTTTGCCCCAAATGTAGGGTTTTCTCTTCCTCACAAATAGCTGGCATGATTAACTATAGAAAAAGTACACTTGATATTATGGGATATGATATTATAGGAAGCCATTATTCTTCTGTTGCACCTATGAATTTCCATAAAACTGTTTCTTGTAAAAGATTTTTATGTAAAGAGTAGAAATGTATTCTTGATAAATGAATATAATCTTCACTCTTTGGCTCATTGCTGTTAAAAACACTTTTAGAGAATTTGAGAGAGAAATTATCTTACTCTCTTAAATAAATGTCTTTCTTCACTTTATCAACTGATTAATCTACTAAGGGAAATCATGAGGTGATGACTTCCTTGGCAACGTGGATGGTAGCTTTGCCTTTATCTTTGTGTTTGTAAACAGACCTATTTTCATCTAAGATATGTTTTCCTTAAGTCTAGAAGGAGACCATATAAAATGCTTATTTTAAGTTACAGCTCACATGCACTGTTTTTTTATCTACAGAGTTGAAATCTTTTCAGAAAGAGTAACAACCAGCCCTCCATCTGAGGAGAATGGAGATAACACTAGAAAAGGAACCTTTACATCCAATGAATATGATGAATATCAAGGAAGCCATTTTTTGAAAGCCACTCATCTTTCAAAAGTAAAGAAAGTATTCATAAGTTCCTTTCACAGATATATCCACAAAGTGAATATCCACAGAATTATCCACAAAGTGAACATCAAACAATAAAATTTTCCTCCACTAATTTATTTTCAGTAATTTCCTGATGCTGTCAGTTTTCAAATCGATTTTAAATTTACAAGAGCTGAGGATCTCAATGTGACACTATGCCCTACAGCCCCTTTATTTCTTTCTAGCAAACAAAATAGACATGTTGAAGAAAATGTGAGAAGGAAGATCCCTATGAACCCTAATGCTTTGTCAGGGAGGGAAGCTGATTGTCTGCACCCCAGATCTCAGGAGCCACTGATCTATTAGCAACATCCTAAGGAAGTGGTCCTTCCTGCTGAAGCACTAGATACTTTCTCAGACCAAAGTGCTATGCAGAATCAGTTGATTCATTGTTAGCCAAACCTAACAATGTATTCACAACCAAGAGTCAGTCATCAACCAGCCTGGTTTCATTCAGCCTATAGATGTTACGAGACTGCCATTTTCTAGCAGCACACAAGACTCCTTCCAGGGCCAACAAATAGACCATAAAGATAAGAGTCAACATTTGAACCACATCCCATGTATTGTTGAAACAGAAGATTCAACCAAGGGCATAGAGTCTGAGGAACATTTCAGTGAGACACAATGTTCTGTTTATTTTAATGACCAAAAACGAGAGTAAGCATTTACTTATAGGGCAAAATAGTGTTTTCCAGAATGCTGATTTTCTATTAAGTTCAAAGTCACTGGCTGAAGCTATGCCACAACAAAAAGTAACACCAGTCCAAAAGCCAATGGCTTCATTGGAATCAAACCAGTATTTTGCATACAGTTCAGTGTCTCTTTTGTCTGCTATTAAAGGGCAGAGAAACAAGAGGAAGATACCAGACAAAGAAAACTCAGTCTTAAAATTCCACCTCCCAAAGCAAAGCAAACCTCTCATTCACAGGTGTTTCCAATCATAGTCTGTCATACTTCAGAAAATAAGATAGTTAAGATGAAAGAAGAAAATAGTACATCAAAGGAAAATAATGTCAGATATAGTACTGCATCTTGTTTCTGTCTCTAAGCTTATCACTCCCATGTTAAAAATTATTTCTTAAAAAGTCTAATAGCAGTCATTCCAGACTTAATAAAACCTGAACATTTTCTGCAGGAGCAAAAGAAGTCACTAGATACAGAAAAAAATCAATTATACAAGTTCTACGAATAAGGTTGGGTATTATTGAAAACATTGAACACTTGTTCATGGTCGACACTCATGAACTGGAAGCTCCTCATTCATTGAAACAAAACAGTAAGGAGTATAGTAAAGACTCAGTTCAGCAGACATTTGACCCAACATTATAAAGTAGGTGGGGTTCTCAGGACTGTCATCAGACTCTGCACAGGAAGATGTTTCATTTCCCCAAATAGAATCAAACAGGAATGAAAGTACAGAAGGACATACAAAGTACAGGGAAATGCAGAGGAGTTAAAAGTCAGTACACCAAAGATACGAAGGTGCCTTTCAAGAGATGATGTAGAGAATGACAAAAATACAGTGGAAATTGTACTGAACTTCCCAGGTATCAGTTTGCTAATTTCCCTGAGATCCCAAAAGTATGACAAAAATGAATTAAAAGACATAAATGTTCAAGTGATTACAGGAAGCATAAATATGAAGTAATAGAAACCATTAACAGCTAATATTACAGACTATGGTAACACAAGTGATAGTGGGAAGCTGGAATGGAACCCTAGAAGCAATAAAAAAAAAAAAATAAGACACCAAGATGAAAGGATGCCAGATCCCTATCATACTGCCATGCAGGCTACCATTTCTGAACCCTTTGATATGGAAAATATGTAATAAATTAAAAACCAATGAAGGCACACTGACAATAAATTATAGTCACACTGCACTAAAGCAAAAGAAACTACTAGATGAAAAGAAAATACAGGAAGTATATCGATAAGAGCTCCATACTTAGAAAACCACAAGAGTGGGACAGTGAGGAAGAAGAAAAAAGTAGACAAACAGTTCAACCACTGGCAGAAGATCTCAGAGGCAGCATATGTCTGAAGCAAAAGTACAAATGTGCCCAATTAGAAATGTGACAGATCTGTTCGAGAACCAGAAAAACTCAAAGGAAAGAGAAAGAAGTACAGTCACAGACTAATTCTACACAGACAGTACGGGTGACTAGCCCATGTCCCTTGACATATCCACTACAAGTTGAAGTAAAGCAAAGGACAGACAAGCCTACAGACAGAAAGGAGGCTGTAGGTTCCTAGCACCGACCTTTAAGGCCAGAGAACTCATTGGCTAGTGAGTATTTAATTGAAACAACAGAATGTAGGGTCCCATTTTGTGGAAATCCTACAAAAACACTCTATGGTAATATTACAGAAGACAAAGAAGACTTGACAAAGGACTTATGTGCAGTTGCCACAAGACCTTTCAAAGTCAGAAAAAGAAATCATTAAGACCAAAAAATGTACTCAGTGTCAAGCATAAAATTATTAAAGTGAAAAAAAAAAACCCTGCATTTTCCCTGAGGCTTTCTGTCACTGCACATAACACTCTGAATAGGAGAAAAGTGGGAGACAGCTTTGAAATCAACATTAAACAAATGCTGCATGATGTAATATGGGCACCTGGGCTTCTGAATGTTCAGCCTCAGAGGTCTAGCATTCGAAATAATAAAACAGGTATCAAGATAACACCCCCCAAAACCCACATTGAAAGGAAAGAAAAGATCTTTGATTCCCTTGATAAAGAAAGGAAAGCTGTAGATGCTCCAGAAGTTCAGTTGTGCTGTGATGTGAAAGTGCTGCCAGAGACAGTGGCTCCCGTTCAGAGGAGCTTCCGATTTGACGCACGCCCAGTCAAATCTGAGACTAAGATGGAGAAAGAAATGTTTCAAGCAGTATCTCTCACTGAGGCAGTTAGGGAGTCAGTTGACTCACTGAGAATGGATTCATTTTGTGTTGCAAATACAAAACCAGCACATCTACACAGACAGAGCGCCAATATTATGCAGAATTAGAGTTGGGTCCTCCAGCATCAGGAAAATAACTGATGGGAGACTCTCTGAGCCAATCAAAAGAAAATAATGTTCCAAATAATGAGAATAATACAAGGGAAATCAGTTGTGGTTTTACTCAAAAAGCTTTCTCATGTTCTTTAAATTACTGCATGCCTGTTTTGACTCATTCTCAAAAGGAGAAAGACTGAGCAAGATTCACAAATATGAGTACAGTGAGCCTCAAGTATATGAATAAGGTGAAACCACCGGCTTCAAAAACATTCAATATCATAGGCAATAAAAAGTCAAAATTGGACCTCAAGACCAAATTAGAAAGGATAAATGAAGCTAAAGCATTTTAAAATAAATTTTATTTAAATTAAAGAAAATCTTATTTTATATACCAATCCCAGTTCCCTCTCCCTCCCATCCTCCCATGCCCCCCACCAACCCTGGCATCCACTCAGGGAGGGTGAGGTCTCCCATGAGGGATCATCAAAGTCTGTCACATTATTTGGGGCAGGGCCTAGCCCCCACCCCCACCCCCGTGTATCTAGGCTGATAGAGTTTCCCTCCATAGGGAATGGGCTCCCAAAGCCCATTCGTGCACTAGAGATAAATACTGGTTCCACTGCCAGAGGCCCCACAGACTGCCCCGGCCTCCTAACTGACACCCACATTCAGGGGGCCTGGTTCCATCCTATTCTGGTTCCCCACCTATCAGATGGGGGTCCATGAACTTCCACTTGCTCAGGTCAGCTGTTTCTGTGGGTTTCCCCAGTATGGTCTTGACCCCTGTGCTTTGGAGGCTAGCCAACAAATGACTCTCATCCAAGGTGAAGGACTACAGAAAACTACCAAAACAGAAAATGGCATAAACTTTCCATTGATTCCTAAAAGTTTATTTCCTGAAGCAGGGACCTCTTCACCTGGTGAATTTACAAACATGACAGATGATTTAGAATCTGACGAAAACTCTGAACATGAACTAGATTTGTATCCTGCAGAAAAGGTTTCAGAGACAACAGGTCTGCAGGTAACATTCCTGCAGTCTTCTGATTCTGTTACAAGATCCTTTGTTTCTAGACCTAAAGGGATGAGAAAAAAGCACTAAGATCAAAGAAGCACACAACAGCGAGACAGAGACATAGAACTATGAGGGAAATAAAACCATCAGTTTCACAGTTAACTGCAGGTACAAAAAACAAACAAACAAACAAACAAACAAAAAAAAAACGAAAGCACAAAGAAATGAAAGATCCACAGCAGAAGGGGTAACAGCAGGTGCCTGTTTAGACATCCTTCACTCCAAGGTAGGTATTTTTTCCCAACCAAAAAATTAGCAATTCAAAACTATGGACAGATAAACAGAGAATAAGAAGTCTTGACAATATATAATGACTGCAAGAGAAATTGCCAGATGGAAGAAACACACACTGTCTGGGTTCTGCTGATTTGAGTAGTTCCTCTAGCATGAAGAAGTATGAAGAGGAAAGAGAAGAAGAACCAGAACATTTCCTGATCTCAGAAAACAGCCCCGGCCTTGTATTTGATATGTATCAAGAAAAAGACCATGACCTTGTTAGATCAGATAAACAACTGAACCAAGCAGGAGAACAATTGCTCAGGCACAAGCACAAACACCTACAGAAGTTATTTCCTGTTCTACCCCATGCCCCATCCCAGATGAATTTCAATTAGAAAAGCTAGAGGACTATTTCAATGTTTCCCTTCTAAAGTTTGGGAAAACCAAGGACAGTGCATTATCTGAAGGAAAGTGTGATTTATTTGATGAAAGACAACACACGGAACAGGCTGCTGACAGTGAAAGGGAGGCGAAGGAGCTATCAGCCTCATGCGCTAATCCAAACCATAGTGGGGAAATAAAATGTGACCCAACCAAAATGAAAGACATGTATCCAGAGAAAAAATTTGCAGATTAACATGCTATTTGACAGATGTTGCACTAGATACTAATATGAACAGCAAGATAGAAACAGAAAATGGCACATCAAAACCCTGTTCTACTGTTCTATACAAAGAAAGCCAGAGATACTGCTTCATGAAGGGAAGGTTACTTCAGATGACATCAAAGGAATTGATTTTCAAGATGAAGAAAAGGAAAATGATGATGACACATTATTTAAATCATTCCCACAGGATAGCAAACATTTTGCATTTTGTTCCCATCAAAGCAGGGATCCTAACTCTCACGAATTAAGAAAACAAAGAGGTAGGGCCATTCTGTCCATTGTGGAACAGTACATTCCACAGCCAAGACAGTCAGCAGGTGTAACACAAAGAGTGTGCCATGTGTACGTCAAGTTCAAAGGTTCCTCTCATACAATCACAAGAATCACAAAGAGATGAAGTGAACACTGACAGAACAAACTATGGCATCCCTGATGATGGAACTCATGAACAGAAACTGAACAGTTGGGATAGATTGGAAAGAGAAAGTCTTTTTCTCTCTTTTTACCCAACTTTTTTATTTGAATTAGAAACAGGATTGTTTTACATGACAATCCCAGTTCCCTTCTCCCCCCCATCCTCCCCTACCCCCCCCACTAAAACCTTATCTGTCAATATCTTTTCTGCTCCGCCTGGATGGTGAGGCCTTCCATAGGGTGTCATCAGTGTCTATTGTATCCTTTGGGATGGGGCCTAGGCCC